AGGGGTTGGAACCTAAGCAATTTCTTGCATTGCCTTACAAAAAACAGATTTATCAAGGGTTTTGGACCCTACATCAAGAGTTGGAACCTCAACTGTAGAATATAGTTATATTTTTACTACTCACAACAAAAGGAAATATATTGAATATATAATCTCACAATTAAATATAGGGTTCCACCAAAAAGGAAACATATTTAAAACACAATATTTGGAAATTTATTAAAATCAATATAATATCACTAGAAATAAATCAAGTATATATTCCAATTCACAAATAAGTTTAGTAAATATTCCAATTCAAATTTGGTTTTCAAATAATCAAAATTAAGAATAACATAAACAAGTGAGTGCATATAATATTACGAGTTGAACTTAGAATAAAAAAAACTAATTATATGACAACATATCACATTATAAGTTTACAATACTACACGTTATACTATAATTATAGAATTTTCATAAAAATAAGGCTTTTAACATCATTTTTCCTAAAATTTAAGTTAGACCTCTCTATTTTTTTTAACTAATTTTTTGGAACCTATAGTAGGGGCCATGTATGCCTAAGCATTCATTCATGTCGTACTGCCACTAGTCTCCTTAGAAGATGTCTCACTTATTTGAGTTTAAATTTCTTTCTTTCTTTCTTTCTATTTTTCTTTTTTTTTTTTTAATAGAATACCAGCTCTAATCATAATTCGCTTTTTGAAACCAATCTTAATGGCCTATTGGTTCATCCCCTAGTCTAAGTACTTGAGGGGCTTTAATTTATGTTGGGAGTTCTACTTGTTGCTAACCTTAGAAAACAAGGTAAGATCAAAGCCCAATAATTTGTTTAGCAATTGGGTAGTATTGTCTTTGAAATCATAAAAAAATAAGAATATATATAATATAATAAAAAATTTTCTTAAATCAAGGCCCTTTAGCTTCTGGATTTGAAAAATGTTAAGTAGACTCTTTTTACTATTTTCAATTTGATATTTTTCATGTAATTGAGATAAGTATGGCATAAATATAATATTATTAATTATAATTTTAAATTTTAATAATATTAAATTTAACGCTAATTACTAATCACTAATCACTAATCACATTAACTTTATATTTATCATGATCTAATCTAATCGCATAAAAAATATTAAAAAAATGCTCAAGAGAGAGTCCTTAACACTTCTCTTTGGGTTTAGCCAGTTTACATTTTGACTACTCGACATCAGCTTCTCCTGCTCCCTGCCACAAAGAAGTGCAATGACGGGTATCAGTTTCACTAAAATTTAAGAGAGTGTATATCACATGTTTGTTTAAATTTCTCTTACAAATTCTGTTTTTCTGTAGCAAAAGCCTCTGTTGTGCAGTTTGTGCTTTACTAAGAAGATCATCTTTTCAATAGAAAATTATCCATACAATGGGAATCCAGTACAAATTGCAGGTTGTATTCAAGTTTAATTTTGTTGAAAGAAAAATTTTCCTTAATCTCTATTTCCTACAAGCTCTAGAATTTAAATGAAATGATAATTTCTACTTTCTTATTACAACAGATTTCCAGTTCCACAGATACAAAATTAACAGTCCATGTATGTTTTCCAACTCATTTCTGTTAGTAATAAAATAAAATGGCACATATTGGTTTTCTTTTTCAAAATTTCAAGAATTTCCCTCTGTGTTCTAGGCATAAACAGAGCCACAAGACAGTGCCATCAAAAGCACGGCAGCCTGTTCTTCCTCTCTTAGCAGTTCCCTCCGCAACAGCAGTTCTATTCCATCTTTACTTCTACTCTTCTTTATTCCCTCTTTGCTCAACCCTAGAAGAGCTCTTTTTCTCTTCCTGTGTCTGATCCCACAAGCATTGCAGAGTGACTGGAAACATAGTAAAAAGGAATCAAAATCAACATCAGAAAAACTAGAGATCAAAAACCTGCACTGACTGTTGTTAATTGTGATGAAGCATCTTACCCTCGGCCCAGCAGGACCACCTCTCCATAAGGGCGTTCTTGTTGTGTGACAATCTACACAGCTTCTGTTTACCTCCTTAACTCCCCTTGGTTGAACAAACCTTTGCATCTCTGGTTCCTCCTGATTAAGGTAGAAAAAGAAAGAAGCACTCGCAAAAGTGTACCTGAAACAAGGGACTAAAGAAACAGAGGAATAGAAAATGGAGAGATTCCAGAAGGAAAACAGAACAAAAACAGGGGATAGATAGGAGAACAGAGTGCCTAATAAGTGACTTATATATGTATGTATGTAGAGACTACAGATTAGAGACTTTTCCAGCCAACTCTCTGCATCTAGGATCAAACACAAAACCCTAGCCGTAAGTCTCAATTACCAAAATACCCTTCGCATTTTGTTAATTCATGTGAAGAAGAATCTAAAATTTCGTGGAAAAAGTAGAGTGGCAGGCAGTAGTTTTTGTTAATTTGAATTATAATTTAAAGGGTATTAGGAATTCAAAAAAAAAAAATAAGGGAAAATTGTAGGTAGGAAATGCAGAGAGAAAGGATGGAAGAAAAGACAAAATCCAACCCATAATTTCTGTTTGATATTGCAATTTGCAAAGACAGCCAGTCATTGCTTTAAATAATTGCGCTAGAGACAGGACAGGGAGAAGCATCCAATAAAAGAACAAACAATCATGAATTTGGGATCTGCGAATACTTGAGCCTCCATTTTTATTGTTTAAAATGAAGAGTCGTGCAATTCCAAAACGTTCAAATAGAAAATAACAAAACAAAACAACCCACAACCACAAACACATTTGTGGAAGAATGGGTGTCTCACTGTTGTTCTGTTCCCCACTAAACAGTTCCCAAGTAATTTACTTCGTTAAACTTTTTTTGACTTAATTAGTTTATGTTCACTTATACCATTGAGCTATGAATTCGAAATTTCAAAAACGACATAAGGCATTACTCTTAAAGAGTTTTTTGAATGGAAGATTTAAGCCTAGAAAAGAATGGATAAAAATTAAAAAAAAGAGTTATTTTATTGTATAATTCATTTATTAGAGGTAAAAAAAATTTTATTACTTGAAATTATGTTATAGATCACATTACTGTCCACCATAGTGGCAAATTAATACATCAATTAGAGACATATAACTACAACCTAATTGTTATAGATTACAAGTCAACAAGTTGGCTAATCTCTAGTTGTCATCTCTTCTAAAACTAGAATTAGGAAGAACACATTATTATCCTAGTACCTATGTTATCGACAATAATCCTTTGATCTCTCCTTCACCTCTTGAGTTTATGATCTGTGTGTCCGAGTTTGGTGCAAATGTCAGCAAGGAAAGCAAAGAAAGCTCCAGCGAAGCACATTAGCCAGGACAATACCAGCACTACCCAATCCAGAAGCTTTTTCTTTGGACAGTGGCCTCTATCGGAGATCAGTAATGCCCTGTAAACAGCTTCTGTTAAGGCGTAGGCAGAGACCGGATCGGATTGTTCAGCTAAAAATCCATACTCTGTCAGGCACACAATGTCATACACTCCATTGATCTCTGAAACGCCTAAACATTCACAAATTACAAGCCTGGCCTCTATCCTCTCCTCGGTTGGTAACAAGTCACCGTGTGTCAAGATCAACATTGGGTTCTCATCTGCAACGGCAAAGGAATTACCACATATCTCAAATGGTTTCAATGATTTTTGTGCAATTTGAGGACAAAGGGAAAACCAACAGGACGAGGTGCATAAGAAGAATACTTACTGCATTTGCGCAGGGCAGAGGAACAGAAGAGCTGTCTAGTAGCTTCTAAGGGCTTAAGATCAGCTGCTTTGAAAGCTTTGTAGACCTCTGCCATGTTTACGACCACCATTGCACAATTCACTCTTCTTTGCAGGAAATTCGAAGATGTTCTTACAGCATTCGCCATCTCATCTGTCATCAGTGAAAAGTCACCGTACCTAAAACATAGCTGGTTATGGTGAACACCCTCACTTATCCAACTTGACAATTCATCCAAAGCCTCTTTCGGCCGGTCATAATTGAACCCTCTTGAATCATAAACGCAGAACCCATTTCGCATTGATCTCAACACATTGTGTTCTTCCAAGTACATAGTTGTCTGATTGGAACAATTTCCTGCAGATTAGAAAGAAAACCAATCAAGATCCTTCAAAATTTTGAAAGAAATTTAAGAGCAAATTGCAGAGATTAAAGAATTGAAGATACCTGAAGATGTTTGAGCAAAGGGTATGAGTCCAGACCGACCAAGAACACTATACATAAGGTTTACAAGCGAGCTCTTGCCGGAACCAGAGAACCCTACCAAGAGTAATGCGTTCACAGGTGGGATGTCCATGTCTTCCTTCTTAATTCCTCCAGTAGGGACCCAGAAATCACCCGAACGGTACCCGTGAAGCTTCTGTCGAAGCTCATGAAGCCCGTCAGACGCAATTAAAGCCAATCTCTCCAGCTCCCTAAACAGTCTGATTCTGGGCGTCAGGCTTGAGACGTTGGGAAGGTCAAACCTTATCCTTGCACACTCATCAAACTTGGCCGCCGCTCTCCACCAACAATATACGGATTCCGAGTCACTTTCATCTTCATCGACACAAGGCTCCTGACTTTTCATTTCTTCCTCGCAAGCTCTTCAATCCGAAGTAATAATGTGGATAACACTGAAAGTCTTTATGCGGTCAAGTAACAGTTCTATGTGTCCTACGCTTCATGTCACTGTTGCAAGCAATTTCTATTGTAACAGCACCGCACAAAAAACAGTCCTACAAAGCTTGTCTGTAGTCCTACAAGTCCAGTAATTGCTCACGGCATGTCGACCAACGCCAGTTTCCATGAACCTTCCTACCTAAGCATTTCAGTTGCTGTATTTTACAAAAACAACCTCGCCAAGACTCAATCGCGGTGGAGACTCCAGGGGCAATTCTGTCAATCGATTGATGAGGTGGAAGATATAAGTTACCACAGCCCGTTACAAACAGTAGTTCTGATAATGGAACCAGCATATCCCATTTTGCAGAAAATTCCAATTTAAAGATGAAAGAGTTTATATTAATGACAGCACTTCAAGGGTTAAGGAAAGGTCCTTGCAATTGCGACTAGAGCCAAAATGATAGTCAAGCAAGACGTACCATATCAGATGTTTCTCAATCTGATGATAAATCTAACAGGAAGAAGGAACGCTAGCTAGTGTACTTCACTTGCACCCAAGGGACCGGCAAAATCATTGCCCGGTGACTTGGGCATAACTTAAGTACTAATAAAAACACCAGACAAGTTAAACAAACATTATACTTCATTAATCCCATCGGTTTTTTGAAAATGATACATGAACCAGAAAAAGAACTCTACCACAAAGTTCGAAAACTGATACGTCTTTCAGATAAGAAAGACCAAAACAGGAGTTCACATCTATCACTAAAAAGGGAAGAGAATAAGACCTTAAAAAAGGGAAGCAAATACAGCCTTTTGCATATAAGCATTTAGGCAGGAACATAAGCTTGGATTTTATCTATAAAGGAGAAGCACGAGTTGTATTCAGCTGCATACTTCACCTCTTGCATTTTAGGAAGTAGCTAATTGAAAAAGAATGACAAATGCAGTAAAGCAAAAGTATCTATTTTGCTTCCAAGATCTGCAAACTGTTTCTTTACCACCGAACCAGGTTCACTGTTTCAAAAACCCCTTGCTTTTATTGAAAACCTTTCAAGAGAGCAACCATACTTCAACATCTCTTCAAATATGTAAATTTGGACAAACATCCAAAATGAACCTTGACTTCTGCTGCCACCCAAATGCTCCTGCAAATTTCAAATTATGAGTTAGGATATCTGATGCAAGATAGCAATTCAATTAGACCCAGCGCCAGCCTCTGACTGAATCCAAACAAGTAGCTACCAACACTGTCTGGGATGTAAAATTATACCATAAATGAAGCAGAAAATAGATCAATTTGATCTATGCTTTTCCCCAGAGCACTTAATAGTAACAAAGGCTTGTACATTTGACATGCTAAAATATGCTCCTAACGACTAAGTTCACCATGTCCCATGTTTCTGATTATTACCAAAACACTTTTATTGTCTCAATAAAAATAGGGAAGAAAATCAAAAGACAGCATATACTAAAAATTAAGCAAACTTAAACCCAATCAAAACAAGTATTTTATTTTCTAATTTACTTCTTTAATTGCTGAATTGCTGAATGAAAACTATGCAAATATGAAATACCTCCAGGAGGAGAATAAATCCCTAATTACCCACAACTTAACCCCAGGTGAAACACTAAACAGCAAGGAAATTCACCTAACAGAAATTCAACTACGGTTTTGGTGACATAACAAAAACCACGAGGCATACCTTCAGGTTTCAACTGAAGTTGAATCCACCAGAAGGAACAGGAAGCTCATTGCCTCCAAACTGGAATCCAGTTTGGTGTGAAGGATCACCAGGAGGTAATGGTTCATCCTCCTCCTCATCCACCCAATATGTCTCAAGGATCTTCACTGCCTTCTCATAGATTTCATTGTTGTCATGACTCTGAAGGTTTTCAATCTTTTCTAACCCCTCAGCATCATCAATTAACTGTGCATAGATGTTCTCTCCGGAATTACCCAAATTTTTCTCAGCTTCACCAACCTTCAGAATGTTTTCAAGCCCTTCCAGGCAAATGGTTACAATCCTGGGGTCAGGACAGTTTAGAAGATCACATAATGGCTTGATGCACCCCTCACTCACCAAAAACCTAACATCAAAAAATAGGATTAGTCCTTCATATAGAGCTTAATCAAGTAAGAAATGAATACTGAATGTGAGGAAGATCTACTTTATTTGTTCATGGGTGCCACCAGATGAAGCATTTGAAATTGCCCAAGCAGCTTCTTTCTTGATCTCAAACTCAGCATTTTGCAGTAGGTTGACAAGAGGGCCAACAATACCAGACTCAATTACACACTGCAAATGTTCAGAATACACGTCAAAATTAACAATTTCCAAGAAATGAATGACACAAATACTATTACTGAAAATCTCCCTACTTTTCAGCAACTTATAATCAAACAGTACAATAACAAATTGAAAAAAAAAAAAAAATCAACCATGAAAATGTTTTCCTTTCCCCATATTTGTATGCATTACTCACCTGTATCTGATCAACATTTCCAGCAGTGATATTTGAGATAGTCCAGCAAGCTTCCTTCTTGATGCTTTTCTTAAAATTACCCATCAGCAGGTTGAAAAGGCATGGAAGAGCTTGATGGTTTATTATACACTGAAAGTGGAAAAAAAAAAAAAAAAAAA